GAGATCTCTCTTTTAGATCTTGTACATATAATGATTGCAGTCCAGCCCCAGCCTATACAATAACTATGTTATACTCCAAATGAAGCTTCTGCTGAATTTGATATTTGTCAGATGAGGAATTAATTGCTGCAGCTCTACCACTCATTCCTTCTGATACAACATGAACACCTCGGGATTCTGTTTTTGTTTATTTTTTATTTTTATAAATTTTATTTTGTCAACAACATTAAATTCTAGAAAATATTATTTGTAATCTATTATTTTTTATTTTTATAAATTTTATTTTGTCAACAACATTAAATTCTAGAAAATATTATTTGTAATCTATGTAATTCTGTTGAAGAATATGAAGCTCCATATCAAAAATTTGATCAAATATATATAGTGAACGGCTCCATTACTATTGACATCTAGACTTTTTGTATAAAACTCCACACATATCGAATATCCAAGTTGTTAAATTGCAGACAGTTACGATGTTGTTAGTAATAGGTTATGAATTCGTTTATTTGAAATCTTAATATAATATCAGAGCGGGCCGGTTAAGGCCTCTTTGAGGATTTACAAAGGGGGTCTTAGCTCTTTTTGGTTTTTACAGATTACCCACGAAGATGAGTTGTTGGCAGCTAGACTCAAACTTAGGTCTTGATAGTCAAAAGAACGATCCTTGCCAACTCAACCAACCCTAGTAAGCTATAAATGAGATATTTTAATTGTTGCAACCTATATATGTTAATTTTGAATTATTTTTGACTGAATTGATGTCATATAAAAGAAAAGTATTAGATTCCAAAACTCTTTTTTTTTTTTTTTCATTTAAATTTGCTCAAGTGAAATCCCAAAAGCCAAAATAAACATATAATAAGCTAGGAACTTAGGTGTTGGACCCCAATAAAGGTTGCAAGGGGAAAAGTGATTCATTTGTCTTGTAGTGCCACAGTTATCCTTCCACTCATATACGTCGGTCTCTGTTGGGTCCCACATTTCTAAAGCCTTCATTTCTACTCTGACACCAAATATAATCCCGAAGCCGACAACAACGTGGTTGGCCTTGGATCCGCCACGTGTCAATGAAATCTCCAGGGTCGCAATTGTGCACCATGAAGCCAGTTGTCCATTTTGTGCAAGTGCCAACTAGCTTTAGTAAGTTCTTCTTTTGCGTAGGGTGGAGTATTAGAATTCTTCCTGAAAGAGATAAATTTGATATGATTTGCTTTGTTTTGATTTAGAAACTCCTGTTAGGAGTACACTATCGCATACTAATTGTGATTGTTGATACATTTTGAGTTTTACATGTATTAATGATCAAGACTAAAATAGGCATGTACGCAAAATTGACATAAGTTTTTCTTCTAGAGTTTAAATGCTTTATCATTGAAGCTAAAAATTATCATAATTATAAGTGTAGTGTTAAGAAGAATGATACGATAGCCGATACAAGCTAGCGTGAGTTAATTCTAATCATTAATTCACTCTAAATTCTACATGTATCGACAATCAAAGATTAAAACATGTGGAGTGTGCGATTGATCTTAGCACTTCTCATAGGGTTGCAAAGGCTTCATTATTGAAGCTAAAAATCATCACAGCTATATGATGACAAACGTTTGAGATTTTTAGCTTTGAATGACAAAATATTATCTCCAATAATATGAACAAGTTTGGAAATACCTTGAAAAACAAACAATAACCAATTAAAATGGTGTTTAATAATAACAAAAATCCCAGCCTGTAAAGTGAGGGCCACATCATTGGGTCCAGTCCATGCTTGAACTACTGGCCATTAAGCATTCAATTTGTATTGGCTGTATTATATATAGGCTGATATATATACACATAGAAAGGATGAATTTTGATTCGATGGCTTTCAGTTCAGGGATAGTTGACCGACGGCTACTTTGCCATACACTCAACAGTGATGGCCCGATGGCCTCTATGTCTTCTGGAGTTTGGTGCAAGTAAAATTCATACCAATATTCCACACATTCTATAGTACTGTAAAATCACAATCAGCAACCTTACTATTCTTTTGGAATGTCATGGCATGGATGAATGGATGAATGAGTTTGGCACCATTTGCATCCACACAAACTTGTAAGGTTCACGCTATTATTTGGATGCATTTGCATAATCAAATTGAACTATCACACTACCAAACAAATAATCTGCAAGTTAACGCTTATCGATGATCATTGTATGTCGACGCATATCAACCATGTAGGTAATCATCGATGCTATTTCCTGATTTTATTTGTGAGAGTATAAAGAGTAGCTAGGTTAACTAGTTTATGTTGTTAACTTTCCTTAGAATGATATAACAATTAATTCATATACAGGTCTCATTTAGATCCAATAGTAGAGTTAATAAGCTTCTACTATGTCAAGAATTCGATTCTCTTCATTGTAGCGAACAAAAAAACAGTAAGGTAGGATCGCTACAGAGTATGCCACCCCACACAATAGTTAGTCCAAGTGGAATAATTTCTGTAGTAGTAGAAAGATTAACAAGATTAAGAAAAGGATCATAGTTAATTAAAGAGGGGAGATTAAGAAAGAAGAAGCGCGAAAGAAGAATACAAACTGTTGGGGTAGGGCCTAGCTGAAAGCTTGCCATTAGCTGGATGGAAAGCAAAGTTGTGATGGAACTTTCCAATAGGAAGCAACAGTCGTAATCACTAATCTTTCCTCAGTCTCCCAACTCTGTGTGTGTGTGTGTGTGTATATATATATAACAGCCCACAACAAGCCCTTTATCATCTAAAATCTCATCCATATTATTAATTCCTTTTAATCACAAAGTAGTCTGATTTTGTGCTACAAATTATTATGGCCCTATACCCCTCTTTGAGAAGCCTCATTGCTTCTCTCTGCTTTTGTTTTCTTGCTTTTTCTCTCTCAGCTTTTGGACGACCAGCCACTTTTCTGCAAGATTTCCAAGTCACATGGTCTGATTCTCACATCAGGCAAATCGATGGAGGGAGGGCCATCCAACTCATTCTTGACCAAAATTCTGGTAAATATATGTATATAAAATAGTGGGGTCGACTTATTATATTTAGTAATGGTTTAAAAAAAGAAGTTTGGTTCAATTGGGTTGTCCTCACAAAGCATGACAAAACAATGAGTGGTTTCTAAATTCTAACATTTGAGATTTGGCTGTTAAATTTGATGCATTTCAGGATGTGGGTTTGCCTCCAAACGCAAGTACTTGTTTGGGCGTGTGAGCATGAAGATCAAGCTCATCCCTGGAGATTCTGCTGGAACTGTCACTGCTTTCTATGTAACTTCACAGACAAAAAAAACCCAAAATGAATATTTGGGTTTCTTGGTTTTTTGGGAATTAATATTTGCTTTGGATTGGTTTTTGTTTGGCAGATGAACTCAGACACAGACGCAGTGCGTGATGAGTTAGACTTTGAGTTCTTGGGGAACCGGACTGGGCAGCCTTATACAGTCCAAACCAATATATATGCTCATGGGAAGGGTAATAGGGAGCAAAGGGTCAACCTCTGGTTTGACCCTTCTGCAGATTTCCACACTTATACAATACTCTGGAACCATCACCATATTGTGTAAGCTAACAAGACCATTAACCATGAACAATATTTTATCTTTCGGACATGTTGTTAGACTGGTCAGACGTCTCATCTATCACAGTATGGCAAGAGAAAATTACTCCACTAGACATAATAATATTGGTTTTTTTATTTATTTTATAATAACTGTTTTGAATTTGGGCTAATTTGGTGTCAATGTGATTGTCCGTGGTGCAGTTTCTATGTGGATGAGGTGCCTATAAGGGTGTACAAGAACAATGAAGCCAGAGGAGTTCCATACCCCAAGCTCCAACCCATGGGGGTCTTTTCAACATTGTGGGAAGCTGATGATTGGGCTACAAGAGGAGGGCTTGAGAAGATAAACTGGAGCAGAGCTCCTTTCTATTCTTACTACAGGGATTTTGATATTGAGGGGTGCTCTGTGCCAGGACCGGCCAACTGTGCCTCAAGCGCCACTAACTGGTGGGAAGGGACTGCCTACCAAGCACTCAGTGCCCTTCAATATAGAAGATACAGGTGGGTTCGTATCAATCACATGATCTACGATTACTGCACCGATAAATCCCGGTACCCGGTAGCCCCACCGGAGTGTCTCGCGGGGTTCTAAATCAGAGCCAATTATACCAAACAATCCATGTCGGTGGTACGTACATTTATGTGTTCGGGAATATGGAAAAATCTTTTGTGTGTATGTATATGTGGATGAAGTCTAAGTCTTTTAGAAGTGAGCAAATGTCAATTTCTACTTGTGGTTGTATGTGTCTGTGTACCCAGCTCGCATTATTGTACCAATAAGGCTCCTGCGTTATTGTGAAAAGGATATGTCTTTTAAATCTATTATCAGTTTTCAAATGTGAATAAAAATCTGTGCTTATTTTCAACTGTTGAAGGACGAAATTTGGTCCATTCTGACACGAGCCAAGAAAGAAATTGTGGAAACAAACAGAGGTTGATTTGATTTAGTAGTACTACCGTACCAGACTGAGCTGAACTAAGTATGTAACATATGGTCCTATGATGTATACTTCGTTTGTTCTCTAGATATCTTTAGAGCAGCGTCGAGCTTAGTGGTGCGGTGTGATGATCATGACCGTTAATGTATTGGGAGTTCCATATACATTAATAGTCAGTGCATTTGGAGCTTAATCGTCTCACCGTAGCATTCTTTATAGCTTTAACGTTCTTAGGAGAGTAAGTGCATGACCTATTCGTCCCTGAAATAGTGAAATGGTTCTTCAAGTGGGGCTCATTAGCTAGCTAGCAAAAGCCATAAATACCACAAAGATGGTCCCATGGTGAGTAAGGGTCAGAGTCAGTTGTTGCATGCACGAATGACTCACGCATGACTCCAAAACATGTCACTCCAACCATTGGGCCATTAGAAGCTGAATACTCACAACAATGAATAATCCACTAATATCCATTTGGGTGATCTCTATATGGTCAATCAACAAAAAAAGTTCAAATCCAACATGAAGAAAGCAAAATTGACAAATTGAAAACAGTAGGGCAAAGCATCCAACCGCATCGAGCTCTTACAACATAAAGTGTGGAACCCGCAAGCAAACAATCAATAGGTCGCTGAATTTTTCTTGCCTACAACTGGTTGTATATGTTGAATCCAAAGAAATTGCAACATTTTCATAATGATGTGGGGAGACCTAAATAACAAGGGACCCCAAATCCCAACCGGATCGATAAGGGGCATTAAAATGAGGGGCCATTCTGTGATGATTGATAATTGAGGGATTAAAAAGTTTGTTTGGAATGGCACATCTTCTCTGACTTGGTTGGTTAGTACTAGTAGCATGGATTAGGACCACCACAAGAAGAATAGTGCAAATGTACCTCAACAAAACGTGGTTTGCTGCATTCCATAGAGGAGCAACCTGATGGTCTACCTGTTGGTATCAATTTAAAGGTGCTTAGACACAAGGCATATACAAGCAGCCGATAATATATGAATGCTTTGGCAACCAAACAAAAAGAAAAATGTTCATTTGGTATAGAGGGTAAGTAAAGTTACTCTTTTGGTTTCAAGTGAACATGCACAATGGATAAGGTTTAGACAGCGTATTATGCATAGAAAACAACTATTTAGCATTTGATAAGTCATCTTGTTCGATATATATAAAGTAAAATACAACTTTCCGAGTTTTGGTCTTCACATTTCCACAGTGGTACAAATTTACCATAAAGAATTAACAGCCTTTGGACTTCAAGGATGTGCATAAGAAATGAGGAAATCAAATTATTAGAAGGTATAGAAGACCTAGCTTACTTCTTCATGCTGTCGATTTTCACTGCAACTGGTTCTGAACAGTATGGACAACTTCCAAATAGAACATCAAATGACCTGTAATGAAAGTACACATAAATATCATACCTCAAGTATCCATAAAAGGAAGCCTACGTTTACCACTGTAGGTTATGCATTCACATGGCCGACAGATGCGGCCCAAATAATTCTTAATGTCAAACTGTTCTGACGATTAAAAGAATTGTTGTGGTCCTGATAGTTCCCATTTTCTGCTTGTATATAAATAATTGCTGTGCCTCCTAGTGAAATGCTTTAATAAAAGATTTCAATTGGAGAAGTGCACGTAATCTTTTTTATCATATTATAGTTAAAATGCACACTACATTATTGAACTTGAAATATGCCATATTAATCTCAACCCACAGTTTCTGTTACAAAATATTACAAAAGACAACTAAGGCTACATTCATGCATAAACCAGCAGAAGTTAACTGTGATACAAGAAACTTAACATACTGCCTTGTTGTGGTGATAGAACGCAACCAGTCCACAAGACATATGCTATGGAAAGCCCTTTTGCAACTGGTATTGTCGCATGTATAGTCAGTCCCAGTTCCACTCTTATGTCTGAGCTCTTCATCTACATTAACACTGCTAAATCAACGACTGAAAAACTTGGTAAACATCTAAGAATGCATGTAGAGGATTACCAATTGGAAGACTCTGAGCATAACAAATTCCGCATTCAACTTGCTGCTCATTCTTCTGGACATCAGGGGGAATTGGCAGTTGAGTCTCCAAAAGACATTTAAGATTTTCTAGAAATTGTTTGTCTTTTATCCTGTGCAATCACACAAAAGATATACTTATATCACTCAGTCCTCTCTCTCTCTCTCTCTCTCTCTCTCTCCATAACAAACTTATCCCTATTCTAGAAATTTTATTTTTCCCAACCTTTAAGCGAGGTTGATGTAGAGTTCATTAAAGAAAAGCCAGGTGTCATCAAAATTAAGCGTACAAATAGACAAATATATTCATGAAAAAAGATGATTTGGCGGTAACACAGCCAGAAAATTCCTATTTAGATTACTTTTAAATACAAGTACCAAAAAATACAGATTGAAATACAAGGAAGGGATGGAATGTTATACCATCTTTTGCTATTTCTTCGCCATCTATTTCTCAACAAGTTCACAATTGGACCTGAACCAATAAAACGACATCTGACACAACTTGATATTTGCATTGAATGAAGAGCAAAAGCTAGAAGGTAGTAGCTCTAGTAACTTATTGGAGATAGAATCTCACTCTGGTAAAGATCTAGGATCAAAGGCATTAATAGACAACATGATGAAGCAATCATTTCCTGTGAAACAAAAACCTCAAAAGACTTGACACTGACAAACAGAAGGAAGAAGAGTTATCAATACTTATGAAGAAGATGCTTCACCCATATTGATCTGGCGATAGGATACGGCAGGAGATGCTTGTTTAGGATCAATAACCCAAAGGGACCTGTCAATATCATCCAAAGTAGACCAAAATGCCTGAAGCTTCTCCAGATGCTGGATACAAGAATAAGTTATTGATAGCTTTTAGCAAAGATAAGAACACAAGAAAACAACTTGACAATTAAGATAGATGAAGTCTATAAGTGGCAACTAGAATCAACTAATGCAACATCTCTCAAATGTATTTTGAAGGGAAAAAAAAATTGAATACCTTTTTAAACTGCTGCACCACATCTTTCAATCTTGAGTGTGTTGACCATTTTAAATCAAACATATATGGTACATCCTGAGAAATAAACTTAAATCTTATTTCTGCCTCAAATGGAAAACTTAACAATGCAAAAGATTAGAGAAGACATACTGCTGAAATTGAAGGAGGCCATTTAGGATGGGTTTTATCCAATTGAATCTCAATAATATGCATTCTCCCCTTGCCATCTCTGGTAATCAGATTAACAAAAGATTGAGCCCACTACATGATTAAGACAGTATAAACATGTGCAAAATGGCAGAAATGAATGCCAAAAAGTTTATAAAAAAATGAAGAATGGCAGAAACTCATGTTGCATGGCCAAAAAAGGAAATTTTACCAAACAACTAATTGCAACAACAGCCTAAATGTTCAGGAAGATTTTTTTGCTAAACAACATGGTGTTAAAAGAAAATTCCGAGGATAACCTAAGATAACACTATTGTATTAAACGATCTACTCTGAAAAGTGTTAGAAGTTCAAATCTGATTCTTGGAAAATTAAACTTTTCTTATCATAATTTTAGGGTTTAATACTCCACAAGCACCGAGGATAAACATTTTAGAATTTCCTTAGTACTTCCTTGATATATAAAATTTAATCTACTGATGAGAATTAAGGATTAAGAAAAACACAGTTCTGAACTCAGTAACCCTTTAACCAAAAAATAGAACTCGGCAACCCAAGAAATAATATCCAACACAACACTTGCCTTCAGATAAAGCATGTTTACTCTACTTCACACTAACCAGATGGCTAGTCCACGACACAAATACAATCTTGAAACTTTTAATAAGTTGATAATTGCATAACATGTTTACAGCATTAAATATTTATTCGGACACAAGACAAAAGATGTTTGGCAGCACTATTTCATTTCTCAAAACTAAATATCTCCACTTCCTTCTTATATTGAAATCACTATAACTAATCTGAAAAAACCAGATATCCTTGGCCCATGTAGAGAAATTCTCAGCATATTCGAAGAACCAAAGAATTCTTTTTCCTTTTTATCAAATGCAAAATGAATAAGAAAACAATAGTGATTGGATACTGAATGGGAACAAGAATATCTTACAAGATCCGAAAGCTGAGAGATGTTAGATCTCCACCGAACCTCACCAGATGCTCCCATCCAACCTCCTCTATCTACATTCACATGATGATCAAGTCAATGATAAGCGGCAATGAAGGTTCTTATGTTACCAAATGTCATAGAAAATCCAAAGACATTAATAACTAACAACTTTCACAAATGCTTTTAATCGTATACTGAAACAATTCTATGAGCCTTCACATTAGTTGCTTGTATGGTGAGCATCAAGATACAGGTTCATATGAGAAAATAATTAGCAACTGCTGCATTCAGAATCTTAAACAGGTTCTTATTCATACCTCCGGCGTTTTCCTAATTCCAACGGGAAATAAAATCATGAGTGAATTAAAGGAAATAACAATTGAAGCAATAATGTGTAGCTGGCCTCTCCGAACCCAGCCTTGTTCAGGAAGGAAAGGTGAGCCCTTCACAATGGGGATTCATGGAATTTGTACTCAACGTGAAAATAAATTATTCTACACAAAATAGCTGTGGTGAACGATCCATGAGTTCAAATGCATAGATTTTCACTAACCCAAAAACATTTTAAAATTTACTTTTGGTCCTTAGAATGAGCATTTAGCACCCATAATATTTTAGACTCCTGAAACATTTAAAACATAAATACTTCAAAATGCTAGACCAGATGTGATAACCCTGCAGTATAAAATGATACTTTGTTCCAGGAAATTGGTATTTGTGTGGCAAAAGATAATGGGTTCAAATGACTGTCCAAGTCACCTCTGAGTACACTGCACGGTAAAAGGTAGACGATTCGACCATTTCTCTGCATCTCCTCTGCTCAGCACATTCCTGCGCTCAAGAACAGTTTGGATGATGCATACATAGATAAACTCAGAGACATATACAGTATAACATATATAATTATAATTATACTGGATATTGGCTCCAATGGATGAGCAAATGAGCTTAATTTTGAATTTCTTAGTTCATGAACTAAAACAAAAGCTTCAGTTCTCTAAAAATAAAAAAAATTATTACAACCGAGAAGGCGCATCACGGTACATAAACATGGGGGAATTTTAGCAAACAGTTGGTGCGCTTTATCTTTATCTTTACTTGCAGATACAACCAGCCACCAAAAGAGAAATAGAGCAGAAGAAGAAGTACCATTTGATTCGGAGAGGGAAAAAAAACTCAAGAACAGATTGCAGGCAGGCACCGTGGATTAGGAAATGATAGCATTGCAAGAACTGGCAAATGATTCCATCCTTGGACCATTTTCATACGAATGATCGGGCCCAGGCCTTACCCATTAACCAAAATTGATTTCAGGCTTCTGACTGGGCTATTGAGCTAGGCCCGTTATGGAGTATTTGGGTCTAGAGAGTGGCTCAAGTACTTAACCAGTATTCATTCAGAAGGTACTAAACCCTCTTTTGAGCTCATCTCACAAATTCATCCCATGATTTATTGTTTGGTCCTCATCTACAAAAAGATCAGTTTTTTTTAATATAAAAAATACAAGCGATATTTGGGGATGAGAATTTTTTCACCCACACAGGTGTTATGGGAGTTCGAATATGAGACCATTAATTTGCAAGTCAAGACCCTTTCCACTCCCGTTAATAAAAGATCAATTGTTTAGCTAATAAATTAAACGGGTAATTTTTCAAAGTGATTTTTCAATTTTATTTTCACATCCATTTTACCAGTCTCATTTTAATTATATTTTTCTTCAACTGTCAACAAAGGTTTTTTTTTTTTCTTCTTTGGTAGATGGTAGGGCATTTGTGTAGGAGGGTTTGGTTATTGATACGGAAACATGTTGTGTTCAATCATGTTGATGTCTTCGACCAAAAAAATAATGTTCATGACGTGTCGTACAAAATTATACCTAAATCAAACAAAACGCATTAGAGCTAATTAACTCATTCATAAAGTATAAAAAGCTATAAACGAATATCATGCATAATATGAATAAAACATCTTACAATGCATATATCCAACAAACGTAAACAAATTCAAAAAAAAAAAAAAGTAAGTTGAGAATAAATAAATCATAGTCTAAAAGAATTTGTAAAAGTTTAAAAAGAAAGACAAAGAAAGCACCTTCCATCCATAAAGGTTTAGCTTCTGCTAACCATATTGCAAACATATAGAACTTTATATATCTGAACTTTCGAAAGATCCTGTTGGCCGGATGTATTTCCAATCGGTGAACCTTTGGGCGGTGGATCGTACACCAAATCTCAGTCGAATACTTCTTTAAAAACCTCCAAATCTCGACTTCTTTAACTTTCTTTGCAGAGAGCCTTTATTCGTTTTTATTTTCTAATAGTAATTGTCCTTGAGTATATTAGGAGCAGGATATATGAACCATTCATCAATTGAAGAAGTCACGAATATGACAAAGAAGGATTGAGAATGGTATACTAGAGTTAGAAGTCGGAACCATTCTAATACCCATTTCGGATAACAATGGTCTCAAGTCAATAACGCTCGAACAATGATTTACAACAAATTTAACACAAGATAGCAACGAATAAGCCGTCTTATTTAATTATGTTCGGCACTAGTCTAGGTGTTTCATTTAGCCCTCAATTATTTAAGATGAGATGGCAACTAGGTCGGCTTCCACGTATTTAGAACAGCACCCCATTCTGGTTATCCATAAATGAAACATTTTCCCAACCCTATAATAATCGTAAGCTATAGTACCTATAACAAGCAACAAGCAGTACTAGTCAAACCGACATATGTTCCTGTCTTCAGACTGAGGAGCCAAATCAACCCAAATCAAACCAAAAAAAGTCTCTATACTTGTTTAGGTACGTTAATGTATTTATGTGGCATATTGTACTGACTCACGCGTGTACTTGCTAACTATAGTCACAAGCTGCCTATGAATATCATCATGATTGATGGACATGTTTTGCTTATTTTTCTTCTCCTTACTGCTGAGTCATATGAGATGAGGGGCACCATCCCATACTTGTTATGTTTCCTTTACATATATACGTACCCATACTCAAGTTTGAATTTTAATTTCTTTTTTTGGTTTTTAATATAAAAATCAGCTCAGTTGCTTTCAAGGATGAATGATTTAACAGTGCAGGAGTATATAAATTTTGAGATCCCAAGTACAACTATTCACAAATACATGAGGTCTCAAACAACTGTTTGCCTCCACTCTCAACATTTGAGACCTCATCATTGTTCGTTTTTAAACAATTATTTAGTCTCCATTTTTTTTGTGTTAATTTAATTTTGCAGTAACATTATTTTTTTCTACAAAGAAATCAACCACGAAATTGCCAATTTCCCAACCAAAAAAAAAAACATTTTTATTTCATATACATCAAAGTTCATGGAATTTGGGATGGTTTTTTTTTTGGTAGAATTTGATCTATATTTATTTATACTTAAATTTGGTTATTTACTATTGAATGTGATTTTATTTAACATGAAGCATTATTAGACTTTTTTTTTTTTTTTTATGATAGAAAAAACAAAAGTTGAGTGAAGTGTTTGCTCCAAAAATTTGAGCTCTTTGACTTGAATCATGAACATGTTATTTAGGACCCTACGTTTCAGATTACAGTAACATGAGGTTTTGCACGCCCTAAATTATATTGATAGTGCCAATTTATTCCCTAACTCTTTTTTTTTTCCATCCAAATTTCTCCTATGAACTATATAAAGCCGGTCAATTCATCCCACTATCATATTTTTAACAATTTCATCCAAGATGTCGTCAAATGAAGCCACGTGATGATTCACTTTTGAAGACCTCTAACTTATTTCACGCCTCAGTCATTTCTCATCGAGACTAACCGCGTTACAAAAACTTATGGCCAACACATTTTACAAAGAAAAGAAAACACCTCCGAAATAACCAATCCAAATAAAAACAAGCTGGAAGATTAATTTAACTTAAACTTGCGTAAGTGATGTAGAATTTTGTAAAGTTAGGTAATTCTAAAAATCAAGTTGAACAAATCCTTATATAAACTCCACGGGCCGACAATGCATCCAATACAAGACATGTGTATTCAGGTCCATTTCTTTATTAACTTACGTATGTGCACACGTAGATTGAATCTATAATTAGAGAAAATATTAAAACACCCAAAGCTTTTATAAAGCAAATGACCCTACTGGTTTTGCCCTTTCAAATAATTTGATTATGATTTTCTCTTAAGCAAAGGATGTCCCCTCACCATCCCCCACATAGTCGACAACAAAACCAAGTAATCCTCCTAAAAATAGCATTAACAACCAAAAATCTCTCTTAAAGTAGCAAAAAGAAACTATCAAAAACTAACAAATATAAATATATATATATATATATGTGTATATAGTTGTTGTATAACAGGCATAAAGCTTTCACACTCTTTACCAATCAAAGCTAAAATAATTCAACTTTGGAATTCAAAGGGGGGAGGGAGTTGAAGGGTTCGCAGATGGATGGTGATGATTGTGACAGAAAAAAATGGGTGATGAAAGTGATGATGAGAGCCCATAAGACAAAGGAGTTTTCCCGGAAAGTGCACTCTTTTCCTGGAAAGTTCCCCTCATGATTTAATTGGTCCACACTCCACACCATCCATTATGAGTGATGTGTGGACTTGTTTTAGCAATACCTTTCTCATCATTCATCATAGCGTGCCTATAACGTAAACATATGTAATGTTTTTTTCCTTTGCCCTAATCAATCTGGACCGTCCATTTGATCCTTCCATTATTGAAAAAGGTAGAATACATATATATGGGGTTTTAGGAATTTTAAGCCATGGGAAGGCAAAGGTGGGTTGGGGTCCATCCATCAAATGGGAAGAAGAAGTAGAAGAAGAGTCTGACTTTGATACAAAATCTCTCATGATAAGATTTTGTGAAGGAAAGAAGTGAAGAGACCCATTGGCATATCACGTGGGTTGTGGCCCTACTGGTCCTAGTAAAGGCATAGCATGTCACGTGACCACAATCCTCAAATTTTTTTATTTTTTATTTTTTGAGTGATCATCCATTCCTTTCTTTCTTTGCACGCTTCTCACCACCCATTTTTGTAGACCCTCACCTTCTTCTATCTGTCTCTAAGCAACTGAATTACAGACAGATACATGTGAGCTAACGTCCCACCCCTTAACCCCACACTTACTTCTTATGTAATCATCATCTCCAATATTAATTCTTTCTTTTTTCAGGTCAAATATCTCATGGTTTCAGTGATGACCTTTAAAAATATCTTATCCAGATCCTAAATTAATTACCATTTTTCATTTGTTTGATGTCTAATGCTGCATCATTGCTTTTTTACATTTTATGAAAGTGACATGGTCACATTTATGTATAGAAATCTTTTGCTTTTAGGTGGGGAAATGATCAGTCAAAGTGACATAATGGTTAACTTGGATGGATGGTTTATATACAAGACTCAACTGTAAATTTACACTTCTTCAAATCAAATCCTCATGAGTGATGTAGCATTTTTCAAATTTATTTGATACGTGTGAATGCAGATGATTTCACGCATCTCACGTTTACTGTAACCTTTTGCCTAAGACCAAGAATTGATACTTCCGTCTTATATTGTTCGGTTTTTATTGAACATATAAATTTTGTATTCAGTTCCAGATTTCTGTCCCATCTAATATTTACTTACAAGAACTTTGTGACACGTACAACAAATTAAGGGGGGTTTAATTTCGTACATATATATATATCCATGGCAACATCTTTCACTTCAACTTCTTCATGAAGTCATGCACGAGTTTGTCTCAACTTGTCTACATCTGAAATTATCAGCCTCTTATAATACGTAAGCTATGCACGCTTTGTACAAAAATCAACTCCAAGAACAGAAATTAACAAAAGACAGATTAATCCAAAAATAAATAAAATAATAGTAATCCCTTCATAGATATAATTCTTGACGATTTACAGACATATATAATTATAATTTGAAAAAAAAAAAAAGTAAAGGTAATTGATCAGTAATAAACTATTTTTTTTTTCTACAAATTAATTACACTAGCTAGTCTTTCATTCACTACAAAGCCCTGAACCAAAAAAAAATATAGGGGTCATGAGGGTTTAATTTCTCCTTCGCTTATCATCTAATCCTAATAATACAGCAGTAATTAATTAGTGGGAGCCTAATTAATTAACAAGCTGCT